ACACACCACACATACACACCACACACACCACACATACACACCACACACACCACACATACCATACACACACCACGCATACACACCACGCACACCACACATACACACCATACACACCACACATACACACCACACACACCACATATCCACACACATACCACACACACCACACACCACACACATACACACCACACACACACCATGCACACACCACTCACACCATGCACACACCACTCACACCACACACACCACAGACACACCACAGACACACCACACACATACCACTCACATCATGCACACCACAGACACACCATACACACACACCACAGACACCACAGATACCACAAACACCACACGCACCACAGATATAATACACATACACACCCCAGACACCATAGACACCACACATACCACAGATATCATACACACACACATACATACCACACAAACCACACACCACAGATACCACACACTCACACCACACTCACACACCACATACACACCTCATACACACACCACAGACAGCACACTCACCCACACTGCACACACACACCACAGATATCACACACATCCATACCACACACACACACCACACACATACCACATACACACCTCATACACACACCACACACACTCACTCTCACACCACAGACAACACACACTACACACACACACACCACACACTGCACGCGCCCACCTACACCTTCTCCCTTGCAGAAATGAGCTGCATTCCCTCAAACTACCACTTAGTGGCGCCTTTGGGCTGTGCACTGGGCTCCAAAGACATTTCTCTGAACAGCAACAGAAAAACATGGTTAACCTTTAAAAAAAAAAAAAAATACATCTTACTTTGGGTGAAATTCGATGACAGACTGAATGCACTTTCCACCATGTCGTGGATTATCTTTTCTCATCCTTCTCCTTTCCTTGACTAGTCTACTTGTGATTCCTGTGGCTGCAGACACCACCTGGGACCTTGTCCTCTTATCTCATGTGGGAAGCCAGCCTGTCCCAGCCACAGGGCAAAGGGCAGGCCACCCAGACCTGGGTCCTGCTGAAAGGCTGCCTGGGGACCTGGGAGCCTCTGTCCAGGCTTTGGCTCTGCTTGCCGCTGCCGTCAGCAGAAAAGAGCTCCCACACGGCCTCCCAGTGGTGGCCCCACGCTGGGGGATGGCAGAGAAGCAGAAATAGAAGTGAGTGGGAGATTTTTTTCCTCCTGGCACTCCCAGAAGAAGAATCTTTTGGCAGAGCAGTGCCCCACGTATGCCTCTTCAGCATCGTTCCAGATGAGCCCATCTTCGATCTGGAAACCACTGTGGAGCACCTACTGTTTGCCAAGCACAAGGCTGAACACTGATGTGAATCGGCTCAGTTTCTCCATCTTTGACACGAGTAGCTGGTTCATTCCAGCTCACGTATTCTTTATGAGCTGGGGACTCTGCCTACTTCTGCGATCTTTCCTTCATTTTGATGCCCCAACCAGATTTGACAAAGGGACTCACATCTGTGCTGTGGCACCTATGTAGAGCAGTGGTTCTCAACCCGGGTGACTTCAGCCCCCTGGGACATTTGGTAATGTCTGCAAGCATACAAATTTAGGTATTAGAAAGGGGGGTGCTCTTGTGATCTAGTTAGTAGAGGCCAAGGTTGCTGCTAAATATCCTTCAGTGCTCAAAACAGTCCCCACAATAAAGAATTATCCAGCCTGAAATGGCAGTGGTGCTGGGGGTGAGAAACTTGGACGTGGAAGAAGAGAAATCTTTTTGGTAACCAGAAGCATAAAATATGATCTTTTAGTACACACATCTGTTCTCCACAATAGTGGAACACCCTTTGGGTTTTCAGCAGTCCCCATGGTCTTTGTGACCGGCAGTGGCATCAGGGCAGGCTGGGGGATGCAACATTAGAAGTTTCATGGGACATCAGTTCTGGGACCATCTCCAACAGGGTCCAGATCCTGACGCCCCTGGAACTCACTTTGTTTCTGCTTCCACTTCAGGTTCTGGCTGGCTGTCCAAGATCTCAAGAAACAACCCCTACAGGATGTAGCCAAGAGGGTGGAAGAGATCTGGCAAGAGTTTCTGGCTCCAGGGGCCCCAAGTGCAATCAACCTGGATTCTCATAGCTATGAGATCACCAGTCAAAATGTCAAAGATGGAGGGAGATACACATTTGAAGATGCCCAGGTTTGCTTATCTACTTGAATGGTTATATTCATTTGTCTACTTCACCACCTGGCCCACTAACCCGAGTCCCAGCCATCGTGGGTGGTTGGAATTTCAGGTTCTATTATTTGTAAGTCCAACAACAGAAACCATTCCAGACAGGTGCACGACAACATTTCAGAATCGTTTTCCCAGATTAGTTGTTTTATTGCACAGAAGCTGAAATTTTCAGTTGTACGCTTTACTTTCTTCAGAAAAATATCAACGTGTTTTTTAAAATCTGAAGTCTTGCAGCAAGTTAGCAGTCAAATCTGGAAACCCTAACGCAGCATTGGGAAAGGAGGTACAGTGAGTTGGCGCAGCCCACGAGGCAAACCTGCGCTGCTTCCACAGGGATTCCAGCTATGCAGCTAATGTTTTTTGAACACATCTATACTATACATCTGCTCTGTGCGATGTGACGAGACACCCCTAAGAATAGACTACAGCCCCTACCCTCAATGAGGTTACAGCCTGATGTTGGGAGACAGACGAGCAAACAGGTGATTTCAACAGCATGAGACATGCCCCCCCAGCGGAGAACTCTAGAGTTAAAGCAAGCCCACCCTGTATGACATAATTAGGACGGTCACACCTGCTGATGAGGCTGGTGCAAGAAACAGAACTACCCCCAACAGGAGGCTGAATCTTGAGGGCTGGGAGACGCATTTCTAAAGATAAACATTGGATTGGTTTCCTATTTCCCCCTAATTTTTCCTTCCTCCCACCATCCCAGCGACAGGGCTTAAGACTTTGCTCTTATCTCCTAAACCTCACGCCTCATTGCTCTCACCTGTGGGGTCCCCAGTGGAGAATCTCGGTAATTTGCCCTCCTACGGACTTCATTGTCTACTTTAGGAAACTAGGGTAACGGCACCCATGCAAACAATGTCACAACTGGTGTGGTGTCCCTTGTCTCGCTGATTTGCTTTGTCATTGGCTTAGAATATCAGGATGGAAACACCATAAGCATCTTTTGAAGAACTCCGTTGACTTTCCACGCCAGCAGATTTGGTTCTCTGGTGTTCATTGTCTGTGCCTCATGAAATCATGATTCTCTCACAGCCTTTGCAGCTTCAAAGCAAAATGCTTGAGTCATGAGCACTCCATTCCTCTGAGGTATTTTGCTACGTGTCTGTGCTCCCAAGCACCATAGCGACATGGCCCAGTGAGAGGGTGAACCCCCCCCAGAGGAAGTTCACAGGGTTCCCTGCATGGATGATTGGAAGCACCAGGCTCAACTCTCCATTAGTTGTGGAACAGGAGGGCAAAACCACAAGGCATGAAACGCAGTGTCATCGCTCTGAGCATGACATCAAGAACGATTTATTATTATCCTGTGTTCTGGAAACTTCTAAACATATGAAAAAGGAAAAATAGCAAAACCACCAACCTTTGTTGGTTGGCTGAGACCTCATCCAGTCTCAGCACCCATTGATACATAACTGATCTCATGGTAACTGCGCTCCGGCCCACTTTTTCACCTGCCACTGGGTTATTTTAAAACTAATCTAAGATGTTGTATC